GAGACTGGAATGAACTTGATTTATTTGAGAAACTGCAAAAGGTATGGCTGGACTCAAATGAACATAGGAGAGCCTGGTTGATACTGCTGGGGAGGTTGGGGTGGATGAAATAATATTGGAGGGTTTTGCTCTTAATGTGATATAAGGTTTCTGAAGGGATGTAAGCAAAAGAATGATATCTAATTTACTTAAAAGAAATGCTAGTTGCTTCATGGAGAACAAACCCCAAGACAGGCTTCAGGGAGACAAGTCAGGAGAATATTGCCATATTCCAGCTAAGGAATGTATGTCATTTGGATTAGGTCAGTAGTAGCAGAAGTGGGGGAAGTAGTCTGTCAAGTTATATTTTGGAGGTAGAATGAAAAAGACTTGCTGAAGAACTGGATATGGGAATGCAATGGAAAGGGAAAATAAATCAAGGTTGACCCCTAGATTTGGGGCTTTTGAAAGAGGGTGTATAGTGGTGCCTTTAACAAGGGAAGGAAGGTGTTTGTGTATGGTGGGGGTAGAATTCTGTTTTGAACATGGTAAGTTTGAATTGTCTATTTTTATTGTACATCTGGGTGGAGATGTTGAGTATGCTGGTGGAGATTATATGTATGTGTGTATTTATATATATGCAGGTGAAAGTGTTAGTCGCTCAGTTGTGTCCGACTCTGCGACCCCATGGACTGTAGCCTTCCATGGAATTCTCCAGGCAATTCTCCAGGGAATCTTCCCAACCCAGGGATCAAACCCAGTTTTCCTGTATTGTAGGCAGATTCTTTACCATCTGAGCCATCAGGGCAGCCAAGATATATATATACTTATATTTAATAAATGTCCAGAGACATTTGGAAGTTATCTGCTTACAGCTGATATTTATAAACAAGGGACCATGGACGTTCCCTGGTGGCTTAGTGGTTAGTATTCAGTGCTTTCACCACTGTGGCCCAGGTTCAGGTTGTGCCCCAAGCTGTGAGGCTTATCCAAGATCAAACAAACAAAAACAAATAACCCTCTTCCTCCCTAAAAAAGGAAGGGACTAGATTAAATGTAGAGAAGTAAAGAGAGCTGGGAGCTGAGCCCAAGGGCATTGCATCATTTAGAGAGCAGCAAGAGCAAGGGAACAAGCGTCTTTTAAATTCATGGCTGCAGTCACTGTCCGCAGTGATTTTGGAGCCCAAGAAAATAAAATCTGTCACTGCTTCCACTCTTTCCCCTTCAAGTTTCCATGAAGTGATGGGACTGAATGCTGTGATCTTAGTTTTTAAATGTTGAGTTTTAAGCCAGCTTTTTCACTCTCCTCTTTGACCCTCACCAGGAGTCTTTAGTTCCTCTTCGCTTTCTGCCGTAAGAGTGGTGTTATCTGCATATCTGAGGTTACTGATATTTCTCCCGGCAGTCTTCCAGCTTGTGATTTATCCAGCCCAGCATTTCAAATGATGTACTCTGAATATATATATACTTTGCTTAAGTTAAATTAGCTGGGTGACAGTATACAGCTTTGACGTACTCCTTTCCCAATTTTGAACCAGTGTATTGTTCCATGTCTGGTTCTAACTGTTGCTTCTTGTCCTGCATACAAGTTTCTTAGGAGACAGGTACGGTGATCTGGTATTCCCACCTCTTTAAGAATTTTCCACTGTTTGTTGTGATCCACACAGTCAAAGGCTTTAGTGTGGTCAATGAAGCAGAAGTAGATGTTTTTTTCTGGAATTCCCTTGCTTTCTCTATTATCTAAAGAATGTTGGCAATTTGATCTCTGGTTCCTCTGCTTTTTCTAAACCCAGCTTGTTTATATGGAATTTCTCAATTCAAGTACTGCTGAAGCCAAGATTGAAGGATTTGGAGCATAACCTTACTGGCATGTGAAATGAGTGCAACTGTATGGGAGTTTGAACTTTCTTTGGCATTGCTCTTCTTTTGGCTTGGAATGAAGACTTTTTCCAGTCCTGTGGCCACTGCTGAGTTTTCCAAATTTGCTGACACATTGAGTGCAGCACTTTAATAGCATCATCTTTTAGGATTTTATACAGTACTACTGGAATTCTATCACCTCCACCTGCTTTGTTCTTAGTAATGCTTCCTAAGGCCCACTTGAGTTTATACCACAAGATGTCTGGCTCTAGGTGAGTGACCACACAATCATGGCTTTTTGGGTCATTAAGACCTTTTTTTACAGTTCTTTTGTGTATTCCTGCCACCTCATCTTAATTTCTTCTGCTTCTGTTAGGTCCTTTTTGTTTCTGTCCTTTATTGTGTCCACCCTTGCATGAAATCCTTGATATCTCCAATTTTCTTGAAGAGATCTCTGCGTGCACATGTGCTAAGTCGATTCAGTTGTGTCCAACTATTTGCAACCCCATGGACTATAGCCTACCAGGTTTCTCTGTCCATGGGATTCTCTAGGCAAGAATACTGGAGTGGGTTGCCATTTCCTCCTCCAAGGGATCTTCCCAACCCAGGGATCAAACCTGAGTCTCCCGTGGCTCCTGCATTGCAGGCAGATTCTTCACCGCTGAATCACCAGAGAAGCTCCAAGAGATCTCTAGTCTTTCCCATTCTACTGTTTTCCTTTATTTCTTTGCATTGTTCATTTAAGAAGACCTACTTATCTCTTCTTGCAATTTTCTAGAACTCTGCATTCAGTTGGGTATATCTGTGTAAGTTATGACAAACCTAGTCATCATATTAAAAAGCAGAGATATCACTTTGCCTATAAAGGTCCATATAGTCAAAGCTATGTTTTTTCCAGTAGTCATGTACGGATGTGAGAGTTGGACTGCAAAGAATGCTGAGCGCTGAAGAATTGATGCTTTTGAACTGTGGTGCTAGAGAAAACTCTTGAGAGTCCCTTGGACTGCAAGGAGATCAAACTGGTCAATCCTGAACACTAGACTGCCGGGGAATTCCCAGAATAGTGTTGAATGAATGAATCTTTACCTCTACTTATCTGTTAGATAATTGAGTATCTCTAAGTTCCAGGTACTGTTCTATGTTCTATAGATTCGTAGTATAGTATTCCCAATAATCATAAATTGTACTGAGTTATATATGCATAAAATATATACATATATATATAAATGCAGCAAGATATGTATTTTTAGCTTATATAACTCTCTTCCCCTCCTTCTACACTATTTCTAAGAAGGATGGAATTGAATATGTGGAAGGCCCTTTGTTAGTGAGCAATGATGATTGTGATATATAAATCTGGGGCTATTCTGTAGGTAAAGGTTTTGACAAGAGAGAAAGAGGAGAAAGGTGAGGTAGAAAGAGAGAGTGGTGAGACTTCAGTTGAATTGGACAGGCATCTCCAACCAAAGTTATTAGATTCATTTAAAATAAAATATGATGCCAGCTTAACTCACACTCTGTTGGGCAATTGACAGTTTATGAAGAACAGTAATTAATCCTGTAAGAGGGAGTGGAGAAATAATATATAATCCAGTACAAGATTATATCTAATTAATCATACAAGAGGATGGAGGAGGTTTTGTAGGGAGCGATAAGTTTCCTAAATATTACAAAATTATGACTTTAGCTTCAGGATGTTGAACTGTTGACATTTAGAATTATTACACTTAAGTCCCTGCCTTTTAAGAAACTTTCAAGTCTTCAATCAGCAGCCCCTACTGGTTAAGAGATATAACAGACGTGGATTCAATCCCTTGGTCAGGAAGATTTGAAGGAGGGCATGGCAACCCACTCCAGTATTCTTGCCTGGAGAATCCCATGGACAGAGGAGTCTGGAGGGCTACAATATATAGGGTCCGAAAGAGTCAGACGCGACTGAAGGGACTTAGCACGCACTGGATCAGAAAAAACTTCGGGTATCTTATATGATTTCCAAATCCCTGCCAGAAAAGGAAACAAAAATGCGTGTGAATCACTGGACAGCATCACACAATTTCTTAAACTTTGTGGTTCTACTCCGTAACTTCACCGAGGTGGTTTTCGTACCCCTCCTTGGACTGCACACTTTTTTACGCCCTCCCCACTCCCCCTCCCATCTGTCTTCTCCACCCGCCCCCCTGCCCCACAAAAACTCCGGAAATACAAAAAGAAAGTAAAAGAAAAACCTCAACAGTCCTTTAAATCCTGTTAAAACACGGAGCCCTTCCCCCCCCATCTAGTTGTTCATCAATCCATGTTCCCATAATATTTTCATTCATTTTATAGTTCTCATGCCATTGTGTATTATAATCATTCGACTCCATGACGTTTATTTGCCTTGAACTTCATCCAGGACTCTGGGAACTTTGTGATTTAATGCTGGGCGCGGGACCGAGGCCTGGCAAAGGCCCTTCACATTCGGATGTGTAACCGCAGCGAACCTGTGCTGTGCGGCCGCACGGAAACGGGAGAGGCAAGCGTTTATTCGGAAAAGCTTCCGGGAACAACGACAGCACATTTGACAATGATACCGAATTGTTTAATGAAGATGTGAAAATAAAACAACGGCTCCGCGTCAACTTACTACTACAGTCTTGTCATTCACGAGCGGCGTCTCTCGTTCCATTCGGTCCTCAAACCCGAGCTCAAACCAGACTGGGTCTGATTGGCCAATCGGAGCACAACCTCCCGTAGTCGCGAGGACTCCTCCAGCCAATGAGAGACGTGGGCGATTTGGTGGGGTGAGAAGTCCTCCCCACCCCCCACGGAAGAATCCTGGGGGCGTGGTGACGCGTTGGGTGAGGCTGAAGTTTGATTGGCAAGTGAACGATCAGCAGCCTTAGAAAGGATACGCAGTCGAGAGGGAGAAGGGGAGGTCATGGGCGGGGAAGTGGAGCTAGAGTCAGCCAATGACTGACGCGCTGCTCGTAGAGCGAACGATAGGTCACCAATGGCGGCACGGATGTGGTGCTGTGGGCGGGGCTTAGGCTCAAAGCGGCGTGGGGTGGGGGGGTGCGCAGCGCCTATTACTGTCGTCCTCACCGTCACCGCCGGCGCCTCTTCCTGGATTCATTCATTCGATTTTTTTCATTCACGAAGGTAGTGAGGCCTGGTTGAAAGCCATGGAGAGCGTTTTGCCTGCCACCGGTTTCCTGTACTGGGTGGGCGCGGGCACCGTGGCCTACCTGGCCCTGCGTATCTCGTGCTTGCTCTTCACGGCCGTTCGGGTCTGGGGTTTGGGTAACGAGTCGAGGGTCGGACCGAGGCTCGGTGAATGGGCAGGTGAGTAGAATCCCGCGCCGCCCACCCCCTGACTCCTGCTGCGGCTCGCGCGGCTCTGGGCCTGGCCTCGCTCGCGCTGACCAGTTCCGGGCCCGGCGCTTGGCCTTCGCGTCCCCAGCTCCCCTCCCTCGTTTCTGAGGCTCCTGCGTCTTGCGTACCCGCTTTCTCCCATGCCATCGCCTGGTTTGCTTAGACTTGTAGTAGAGTTTTTAAATACTAAACACACTGCTGGCTTAACTCAGCGAATCTAAAGTGCCACTTGGGTGCGGGAGAAATCTGGCCTCAACTCGCTGGAGCTTGTGCCGTTTAAGCCATTCTGGGTCCAGGGAGTTACTTGTCTTGCTGGTTGCTTCCTCAGTCACAGGCTACCTCTTCTGAGAGTTTTTGAAACAGAAAGTCTTTGGCTTGCATACAGGCCCAGTGCTCAGGATGAATAGCATTCTGTTGTCTTTTGGGGGGCGAGGGTGGAAAAAGGACAAGAATTTCCTAAGTCTTTCTGCTCTTTGGAACCTTGGATTCGGCCTATTTCATATAATTTACAAAGTCTTTTTTTTTTTTTTTTAATTCTTGGCTAAACTGTCCTGGAGTCCTAATGACTAGCAAGAATTATTGTTTCTTCAAGATGGTAACTCTTCATGTAGAAGTCAGAAATGCCTTCTGCAGAAGGAGATTTGCAGGAAAGAGTATTCCCACAGAGAATGAGCTAAACAAACCTAATCATAGTTTTGGGAGTTAGGGTGTCTGGTTTACGATTCCCTGTAGGCAGGAATGCTGAAGATGTACGGGAAAGGTCAGATTAGAGAAGTTGGGAAAATTCCACGAAAAGTTTTGCTTTTTTCCATTTCTGCCTTTTTTGTTGATTTTCTTTCCCTGTTTTGTTTCTATTAGCTTTTTTTTTAAACCAAGTGATATGCCATTCTCCAATTATTCATTCTGCTGTTTTATAATTGATTTTTAAAATTATCATTGGTTTTATATATAATTCACAGAACATTTTGGTCTGGTTAGGGGTTGATTTCAGGCTAGGCTCAAATAAGGTATATAAATAATTTACTCCGTATTCTTAACTTTATTCACTCAGAAACATTTCAACAACTTAGTAGGAAAAACATAAATTAACATTTTGGAACTGCAACAAAAAACATCTCAAGTAGGAATGAATAAGCATCTATTAACATAATAAATATTTTAAAAATTTACTGTTTTTTCATCATTGAAAAAGCAAGTGAAGTGCTCAACGTTGTTATAATCAAGATTATAATTTCACTGCCTGAGTTCTTGGTTGTCTGGTTTGGAAAACCTGTTGACTTTTGAAATAGTGGAATAAGACTCCAGTGTCTTAGAAAATCATATGTGAAGATGAATAAGTTTTATAGTTTGTAATTAAAGACTTATGGTAATAATTTTTTTAACTATCTAAAATTGATGACAGTGGCTGGTAACTTAAATGATCTAAGTCATCTATATAATAATCCATAGTAAAAGCCAAGTGTTGTGACCTTGTCATTTCATGAGTAATATTTATATTGAAAAGATTTGGCCTCAGAGGAAAGATTTTGATAAATTAAGGGCAGTGTTTAAAAAATTTAGAAATGAAATTTGAACCTGAACACTACTATCTAGCAGAGAAGATAATAAAGTGAAGTATTATCCAGTTTACTTGTTGGGAAATTTGTCTTTTTTAAATACTTAAGTAGAAGAAATGAACAAGTTGTTATTTGTAACATTACTTACATGTGGTGGCCTGAATCTTAAAATACTTCGTCCTTTATCTCTCCAAATTCAGGGAATCTTTGGAAAGCAAAAACTGAAATGATTTGGAAAACAAAGCAGCAGAGATGATACTTGAATAATTAGGGTTGAGTTGTAATTAAAAACAGGTAATTTGTTCAACTGAGTATGAGGGTAACCAAGCCAGGGCTCCTGTGCCTGTGGCCCTGAAAGCCAAACTGACAGCTGGTGTTTGCAGCACAATGAAGGTTTATCTGGGGCTTCCCAGGTGGCGCTGGGGGTAAGGAACCTGCTTGCCAGTGCAGGAGACATAAGAGACGTGGGTTCGATCCCTGGGTCGGGAAGATCCCCTGGAGGAGGGCATAGCAACCCACTCCAGTATTCTTGCCTGGAGTATCCCATGGACAGAGGAGTCCGGCAGGCTACAGCCCATGGGGTCACAAAGAATCGGAGGCGACTGAAGCAGCTCAGCAAGCAAGCAGCAGACGGGTGTGGGTGACAAGTCTCAGATCCACTCTGACTTTGTGTTTAGAGTTTTTCTGTGTTTTGTTTTTTGGGATTAATCATCATCTAGTGACATTTCCTAATCATAGTTTCGGGAGCCAGGGTGTCTGGTTCACTGCTCCCAGGCCACGTGGCCCGTGGCACAGGGGTCCGTGAGCCCTCCTTGCCCTGGAGAGGCAACTTGAGTTTGTACATTAATGACATTGACAAGAGCAGTTTCAGTATATTAATGACGTTAACAACAGCAATTGTAGTCTCCTGACTCTGGTTGATTGGTGTTCAGTTGGCACAGGATTGAGGTAGAAGGGACCAGAAAAGGAATAAAGTTTTGGATAAAGAGGTTAATCATAAACTCAATAAGGGAGCTTGGTTTTAGGGAGTCTTGGTGTCATTAGGGAGGCATTGTCTGCTTTCTGATATTGATGTTTGTTTAACATCTTCCTCTTCTTAACCAATTATTTTAAGTACTATATAATAATGTGTGTTGAGTTGGTGGTATATTTTTATACTTGTCATGCTTAAGTCTCTGCACGAGAATATGATTAATTCCCGACCACCCCCCTCCACCCCGCCCCCGCCCTTAGATTTTAGAATCTGAGAGGCAGGGACTGTGGGTCCTCCTTTTTTGTTTTTTGCCCTCAGTAATTGGCACATGGATCAGATATCAGTTCTTCTAAACTTAAAAGCTTGGAAAATCCCTGAAATACAGTCGGACTTTGCAGTCCATAAAAATACTCCAGACCATAGATTCCTTAGTCTAGTGGGTTTTTAAGACTACCCATTACCTGGCCCATCCCCTAACTTATCTCCTTCATCTCCTAATCAAGAGCTGGGTATTCCCTTCCCTCATTCTCTTCAGTTACAGTCCCATGCAAGTAAATTACTGTGATTTCACTAGGTCTCTATAGGGTGAGTTTAGCCAATTTAGTAGGTAAGTCTCTCTTGCCTGCCATTGTCATGGGATACTTTCTGTATTCCTTCCAAGAATAAAGAGTCCTGTGAAAGTAGAGTTTCAAGTTGTTTGAAGATCTCTGTAGCAAGTAACGAGAAGAAGAAGGCTAACAAAGGTGATCAGGTCTATCATTTTCCTGAATGTCACCAGGGAGTTTACTACACTTACCAAGCTGAACCTCCAGAGAGTCACTAAACCTGTTTGAGAATGCCAGAGTGATAAACTTGGCACTTTGACCAGAGTGAAAATGAAAGTGGTGCTGGGTATTTTTGTGTGTTTTGTTTTGTTTTTTTTTTTTAGAGCAGGGCAAGTAGTATAAAGCAGAGAAACAGATGAACTTAGTCATAAAAGTTCTGAAAGGAAGTCTGTAGGCCTAACTGGAGCAAAGTCTCCAGATTGGAGTTGGCAGTGAGCTGTGTGCTCAGTCACGTCCGCCTCTTTGTGACCCCATGTGCTGTGGCCTGCCAGACTCCTCTGTCCATGGGATTTTTCGGGCGAGCATGCTGGAGTGAGTTGCCATTTCCTTCTCCAGGGAATCTTCCCGACCCGGGGATGGAAAATGCATCTCCTGTGTCTCTTACATTGCAGGCAGATTCTTTACCTGCTGAGCCATCCAGGAAGCCCAGGGGCAACCTTAAAGAACTCGTCCTCTGGCCATGTAAGAGATGGCAGGTGCAGCTGGAGGATGGAACCTAAAAGCATGCCCCAGTCTTATTTGGAGGAAAAACCAGAGAGGATGTTTTCCTGGAATTAGAAATTCAGCCTCTGTACTCTGAGCTGTTTCCTCGAACCTCACACCAGCCTCCATTGTCTCCTGCTTCGTGTTTTTTTTTTTCCCTTGTTCTTCCTTTCTGTGCAATGTTAAGTTTCCTATAAAGGGTCAAACGTGAGATCTCAGAGACTCAAACCTAGACTTGAAGTCTAGCTCCTCCTTTGTACTTACTAGAATGTAGCATTGAGTAAAGTAGTAGACATCTGTGAATCTCACTTTCCTCATCTGCAAAATGGGGATAATACTGGTGCCTGTTTCATAGTATTGTTGTAAAGGGTAAATGAGAATACTTACTCTATGTAAAGCAGATGGTGCAGTGCCCTTGTATATACATGCTTGATAACTTATTGTTACTAGTCCAGTAGTCATGTATGGATGTGCGAGTTGGACTATAAAGAAAGCTGAGCACAGAAGAATTGATGCTTTTGCACTGTGGTGTTGGAGAAGACTCCTGAGAGTCCCTTGGACTGCAGGGAGATCCAACCAGTCCATCCTAAAGGAGATCAGTCCTGGGTGTTCATTGGAAGGACTGATGTTGAAATTGAAACTCCAATACTTTGGCCACCTGATGCGAAGAGCTGACTCATTGGAAAAGACCCTGATGCTGGGAAAGATTGAGGGCAGGAGGAGAAGGGGACGACAGAGGATGAGATGGCTGGATGGCATCACCGACTCTATGGACATGAGTTTGGGTAAACTCCGGGAGTTGGTGATGGACAGGGAGGCCTGGCATGCTGCAGTTCATGGGGTCACAAAGAGTTGGACATGACTGAGAGACTGAACTGAACTGAACTAGTGATACTGTTAGCCTTAGTAGCATTATGTACCTATCACTTTAGCTAATTGACAATATAAGGCTTAGTAAGAAAAAATTAATAGCTGGGTGACTCCATCTTCAGAAAACTGAGATTACCTTTGCTACTGCAATTGAGTGTTGAGCTTCAAAATTTTCTGTTTATTTTTGTTGGTTGAGGAAATTTCTTTTGGTTTCAGAAAAAATTATTGAAAAATTTAGTGAATAGAATATATGGGTAAGTGGAT